TGCCAAAGGCAGTCCGTGTTGTCCAAACACACGATCCATGAACAGCTTAGCTGTTTCTTCTCCATCAATGGAGTCCGGCACTGCCGATAAGTAAGCCATCTTGCTCAATCGGTCTACAAAGACCACAATCCCAGTGTTGCCTGCCGCATCACGCGGTAGGCCAAGCACAAAGACCATACTAATGGACTGCCACAACCGTGAGGGTACAGGCAAACTCGCCAAGGCGCAGCCATATTAGGCATGGGCTTCACCCTTTGACACGTTTTGCACGTGCGTACACATGTACCAACCCATTTGTACAACTTGGGCCACCAATAATGGGTGCTCACCGATCTGTAGGTCTTCTCACGACCTAAATGACCACCAAGTGGTGTATCATGAGCCTCATAAAGTATCTGATACTTGAGGTCCTCACGAGGCTGGTATCCGACCCTGTACTATAGTACAGCAGACCATTGGTCAGTGCATAACGATGTAATCTTCACGATTACGTGATAACAGTTTCACCTTAGAGTTTTCAAACGCTGCGCTACCCAGCGCCTGCATAATGCAACACATGTCTCATCGCGTCATACGCCACACGGATACGTTCCGTGACTGACGAACTCACAACAGTGAGATGAGCAAGCTCATAGTCAGGTCTATCGATAACGCGTCATCCAAGATATTCTGTTTTCCCGGCTTATACTTCACCTCGAAGTTATATTCCGCGAAAAAGGAGAGCCAACGAGCCATTCTCTGCGAGATCTGAGGCGACTGTGTCGCTGTGCGTAATGATGCATGATCGGTATAGATCACAAACGGCTTTGAGTCCAACAGGTGTACCCTGAACTTAACAAGGGCGTACTTCATCGCAAGTAGCTCCTTGTCATGAACTGGATAGTTCTTCTCTGCAGCTTTCATCTGGCGAGACTCAAACGCGATGACGCGTTCTCGACCCTCAGAGTCAGCTTTGCAAGAGAGCACTGCCAATGGCAAAGTCCGAAGCGTCACATACGACGCTAAACGGGCGATCAGGATCAGGTAGAGCCAGAATTGGCGCCTGAAGGAGACCCTCCTTAATGGATTCAAAAGCCTCGTGGTGCTCGGCGTTCCAACACCATTCCACATCCTTTTTAAGGATATTGGACAATGGCCTAGCCACTTCCGCATAGTTGTGGCTATACTTGTGCAAGTAATTTGCCAAACCCAACAACGGAGGTTCTTCTTGTTTCTCAGAACCGGCCAATCCACTATGGCTTTGACCTTAACAGGGTCTGCCCGGATTCCTCGCTTCCCAATGAAGCATCCCAAAAAGGGAATCTCTTCCGCACCGAAGATGCATTTGTCAATATTGGCATACAATTTATGCGTCCTCATGCAACCGAGCACAGCTCGCAGGTGCTCGATGTGATTCTCCACATCATTCTTCCCATTTTCTGCTCGACTATGGACGAATATATCGTTAAAGTATGTCTGTGCATACGCCCTATGGGGCCGAAACAGCTGCTTCACTAGACGATTGAACGTCAGGCGCGTTAGACAGCCCTTGGGGCATTGCTAATCACTCCCAGAGTATACCGCTCGGAGTACTGACCGCTGTCAGCGGGATATCACTAGCTCGCATGAGCAGTTGGTAACATCCATCGGCTAAGTCGAGGGCACTGTACATCGTACTTCCCACCATAATGTTCTGAAGAACTCCCTGCGAGGAATTGGTGTTTGAGCCGGGATAGTGGCTGCATTCAGCTTATTGTAAGCATGCACTATTCGCCACTTCCCATTAGGCTTTCTCACACAAAACGTGGGCGTAGAGTGAGGAGACTTACTCTCACGGACCATGCCAGCCGCGTGCTTTGCACGAAAGAACTCGTCAATGACGTCACTTTGTTCTCGTGGCAGCGATCACTGTCGCGTCACACAGTATTTGGTTCCTGGAACCAAGTCAATCTCATGACGTACACCTCTATCCGGAGGTAACCTCGTCGGAGGTTCTCTGGAGACACATCTCCATATTCCTTCAACAAAGCAAGGTAAGATCTGAAGGGTGTTCAGGATCTGTGGTCCACTACGCGCATTCAGCGCCTTCTTGGTATCCTCAAGAAATGCTTTTTCCAAAAGCGATGAGGAGTTCAACTCCTCCTCAGGTCGTATAGCGACCACTTCGACGATGTCGCCTCCCTGTAAGGCAATTCCAAACTCGGCAAAGGACAACTAGTCCAGCTCTAACAGAGCACTTACTGCGTGTTTAACTGAAAGATCCACCGGCTTTCAACATCCACCGTCAAACCATTGACGAGTGTATATAGCTGTTTTCTATCACCGTCACTCACGATATTATCATCGGTGCTCATGATGCTCTCAGCGTTCTCAGGTGTACACACCTCAAGGTCAAAGACCACTTCGTACTGACTCCACCCCACCCTTTTGGGTCAATGCCTCGTCATGAGGTGTTGGTATCTCGTTTTCATCAAAGACAACCATCATTTTTGACTTCACCCGACCCTCCAGGGTCAGTACCTTGTCACTATGTACTTGCACCTTGTTATACTCAAAGATAACATCCATTGATGACTTCACTCGACCCTCCAGGGTCATTATCTCGTCGTTAGATGCATACACCTCGTTATCCTTGAAGACAACATCCATTTGTGACTTCACCCGGCCCTCCAGGGTCAGTTCCTCGTCATTTATGTCACTTGGACTCATGTCCTGACATCTTAGCTTGCAGACCCCAACACCACTCACGGTGTTTAAAGATGTAACATCATTCTCATGACACATGTCATATGTGCCATCTAGTGGGTTCTCAACCACACTATCGCCAGTCATTGGGCCTCGCCCAGGACTATTGTCCTCGACACTTACAGTGTCTACAAAGTCGGATATTCCGACGTCCAACATATTAACCAACTCGGTCCAATAACCGCGCCAAAAGCGCTTTTGATTCCTAGCAGAGGTGGGTTCATGACTCTCCAGAGACCCACCAGGAGCATTTCGCGCTGCGCCTAAGGTCTTCGACCTCCAATCAATCCATGGCTCATGACGTTCTAGCCATGCCATGCCTAGGATGAGGTTATACCTCGCATCCAGGTTTAAGACCAAACAGCGTTCCATGCTGTTAAAGTCCAAAAACTTTACATTTAAGTCCATCGGGACTTTGGGTACCGTAACACGCGTACCCGTCGCTAAGCGAACTGTGAATGTGTCACTTTTACGCGCTACAAGCGCTTCAGCATACTGCTGACTACCTTCCACGGTGGAACGGCGCACATAATTGCCCGATGCCCCCGAATCGATCACAACGAGCGATGGCTTATCAAAGCCCTTAATCGTCCCTTCGACGACTAGCAAGCCTGGCTTACATTATCGTTCCGTTTTTGAGAGTTCGGATCTCTTTGGGGCTGAGCACCTGCTTACTTCTAACTCCAAGAGGTTCAACAGAACTCAGTTCTTCCCCAGTAGGGTGCCCCGAACCTACTGGGCTCCGCCGTTTCCCCGCGGCAAGCCAGAGGGTTTACTCATGGGGCGTCAGCCCTTCGAGGCTAAATATGCCTTTCTTGCAGGGCATTTTGCCATGAAATGGCCTATGCTCTTGCAGATATAACATCTGCGCACAATTTGCTGCTCTGCAGCTTGAAGCTCCGCTTCTTCATCCTCCACTTGACTACAGTCCATGGGAACAGGCCCATCAGACGAGTATTTACATGTGGCAGACCTAGCGGCATTTAAGTTGGTCTCGGTATTCCATGTCACTCCAAAAGCTTCCTCTAATGAGGACGGGTTTACATGGAAGACTTCCGTTCGAGCAACGCCAACTCGGAGACCCTTTATAAAGAACCTGACGTTCACTGCCTCAGGCATAGGATCTATGACCATGGCAGCAATAAGAGTGCTCAAATCTTGTACATATGCCGCAAGCTCACGCTTGCCTTGGCGACACGCCAAAAATCGCGACCGATTACGATGTGCTTGGTTTGGCGGTCCATACTGCCGGGTCATCTGAGCTTCCAGATTGGCCCATGTTGTGCATGCATCTTGCAATGATGCATCGCATGTGAATTGCTTGGCTAATCCACCCAGCTTACCCGTGGCCAAGCCAACACGATACGGTTTATAAGTGATGTCGGCTACAAACTTAGCCTACTCAACCTGTCGGAATCACATCATAAGGTTGTCACCTTCCTTGCCGTCGAACTTGTCGGCTTCAGTATGTATGGATTTTGGTCCGCGGACTGCTTCCTGCGCTATAGTGGCCATGAGCGTAGGCGCAGAAGAAGGCATTTGTGCCTTTACATTCTCGAGTCGGCTTGATGTGGCAGAGAGACACCTGGTCACCATACTTATTTAAGTATAGTGACTATGCATGTTTGCATAATAATAGGCTATAGAGCTAGTAAATAGTGACTAGCACTAAGTATAGTAGATGCTTCTATATTTAGTGTTAGAAGATAAACATAAATATAAATCAGTTTCAAACCTGCTCTGTAAGCCTTACAGCTTGAGCATTCTATTCCTTTGAAGGTATCAGTATCTTTGATACTAGTCTCTCTGAGACCCGGTTGTTAATACTGATAGGCACAAGCTTACGAGCTAGCCTAGGAGGGTTAAACTCCCTAAGACGTAGAAGCTCTCTGAGCTTGTCTTCCTCTGCACATAGTGCATAAGTAGCTTGGCTACCTGGTAGCACTTGTAGTCAATCCCGCACCTGGGTTTGCGACTACTTCTCTGTGTGAGAATGGACATCGATGAGATGTCAGCGGTTGGGCTGTCACAGGTACAACAGGAAGGGTTGCAGAAGCTGCTCCCTACCCTTGGCCCTAAGGGCGTAGAATACCTTATCGCCCAAGGCGATGAAGAGGCTAACAAGCGTATTCATATGCTTGAAGAATATAACAAAGCTATAGTACTCTAGTACCCAAGGTACGGTCACATCAAGCCTTCTCTTGTACCCAAGGTACAGCCACACCACGTTGGTGTGGCAGATGTGTATGTACAATACACACCTTCGTGTAACCCCGTTACACTTTCTCTTTCATCGAATATTTCGAGGCCGCCATGTCGTTAAGATATAAAAAAGCCATCTCCAGCATTAATTCACTAAATATTGGGTTTGCAAACTCTCGATACTTGAAAAAAAGTTTGATCTCCTCCGGACAGGTTTTAAATCCAGTCTGAATAGCAGTATAGCGACTAATCATCGGGGCTATCAAACCCTTGGGAGAATGACATTCAAACAACGCAAACAGGTGGTTGACGATAAGAGGCAATCGACTACCACTTGAAAGAATCACAGTACTAAAATTAGGTAGCGTTTCAATAGCACGGTTCAGCTGGTAAATCACCTCTGCCGTCGCATACTGAAACATACATCGACAAGATCCGCCTGCATAGTGATACTTGGTCTCCAACAAAAAAGCACGATTATCGAAAGGGTCGTCAGATTGGCTTTTTTGCCTTTTCTTCATTAATTCTGGCATCGCATTGATCAACGATGTATTGTTACTTGTAGCGTCAAATTTTGGCAATACGTTGTTAAAAATCTTTGTCGTTAATTGCGTCAAGGTATTCATCCAATGTCCAAAACCAAACTTGATGCTCCAATATCTTCCAATTATACTCAAAATCTACACTAGCTTTTCCACGAGAGGTCACAGAGCATATAAACACGAGTCGTTTCTCTCCAGGAACATTTGCACTGGTATACCATTTGAAGCACAAGAATTCCAGCTTTCCTCTATATTCCTCAAAGGTCCATCCATCAACAAGCACCAAACAGTTCTGAGCATTGGCGGATCTCAACACTGCTTTTAACGTTTCACTATCAATGATTCCACTCTTTCGCTCTTGAACGCTCAGATGCACACACTTTGTATATACACCTTCGACGTGAACCCAGATAACATCCCATCTGGTCCTATCAATAGCTATCGCAAAAACCAGAGCGGCGGTTGACTTTCCCGTTCCAGGAGGACCAAGACCATAGCCAGCATGTTTTTCTTCCAAGACTTTTTCACGCATGAAATCGATTTGCCGATGAAAGGAGGGCCTGCAGTACAGCTTTATCTGACCACAAGAAATTCCAAAAATCATATACATCAGCCTTCTCAAAATACATATTTTTTATCCGTGGGGTCATATGGGAAAGGCCTCTGTAAAGTTCACTTCCAGTCCATTTTGAGCTGAAGAACTATCACCAGCACGTAAACTTGTTGATCTAATGGAGGATCACATTCGTTTAGCAAGTCATTAAGTGAGTCCTCTCCCTGTAGTTCTTGATCTACTCTCGTCAGCAATTTGATGAGAGCAGTTTTCTGACCCCTCTTCAGCTTCGTCACGTCTTCTAAGCGAGACGATAGCCATACGCCCGCGTCTTTCTTTGCCAGAAAGAGCTGCAGCCTGCGTGCCTCGACATCCTTTAAATCGTTCGGGTTCTTCAGTCTAAAGAAATCGCCTTTTTTAAGTCGCCCACAGACTTAGATGTATCGATTTCTACAGAGAACACGTTCTCCCCCCTCTACACCAACAATCGCACAAAGAAGCTTTACCATTACCATTGAACCGGCAAATTTTTGAATAAAAGAAACAGAGAAAATTTATGCTATCGTACCTAAGTGGAAAAAAACCAATGGTTAAAATGATAGGAAAAATGTCAGTTTGTTTTTAATCGATAGCAACCCTTAAATCTGAAAAGACGAAGATCAAACCGAAAACGTGTCGCTAGAAAACTAACAACTGTCAGAAAGGCATCACTTTTTCTTTTATTCAGCTCATAATTCGACTGGTGACAATTTAGCTGTAAAATTGTAAACCACGAACCCTCAATGCTTTGTCTCAAACGCTGTAAAACAACTGTCATCTATCTACCTCTCATTAGCAAAGCCGTTCGTTTTATATCATTAGTAACATTATGTATTCGTTTATTTCTCCCTCAGTGTTTTCAAACCATGAATTCGATCGCAACCATCGTTCCATGTTGCCAGTAAGATTTTTATGTACTTTTCCAGCGAATGTAGCAGGTAGAGTTTAAGGCAGGCTTACAAATGTAACGTAGTCCAATCAAAAGAAGCTTACCCTGTTGCAAGATAAGGTAACCTGTAACAGCGAAAAACACAAACTTGTTGTGTCACCGTCACGCGCACGCATCGCCGCAGACGATTCCGGGCGCATGCTGCGTGACACAGAGATAACTGCACGCATAGCCAGCGTTGCCTCCATCATCATGTTCAGGAGGCTGAGTTACTACTGGAAAGTATTGACAATTCGACACGCTTATTCGGTGTGAAGTTTTCAACAAGCTAATCAAACGAGTCCTGGCGGGCGCCGAAATTCTTGATATAATAACGGGTCACCGACATTATACTGTGGTGGAGTGGGTTCTCAAAACTGCGTAATGAGACCCCAAGCCACTCACTGTGCCGGACTGTCGACGGTCGGATCGGGTACCTCAATTCCTGGTATGGACCTTCTTTCACCTTGTGTACCCGTCTTCTGGCAGGTTGCACTCTTCGGAGGACTTGGTGGAGATAAAATGTCGGCCTTGAGAGAGGTCGACCTTGGAGTACCTCGAGTAGGTATACTTCACTCGGTAGGCCGGCAGGTGGCCACTCTGTCGACTAGGTCGAGGGTGGGCTCATAACCAAATTTTTCAGGGGAGATTCTCAACTCTGGTCTTTTCCTTCCTTTTCCTTGATATCTCAGGGGTATTAACCGCCTGGCCTTTACTTGCTCCCGAACCACTAGGGTAGGGAGACCTCTTTCAGAGAGCGGGTCGATTGGAGGGTGCTACTCAGACGAACCCACAGGCCAAATATATCCTGAGGCTCTATTCACACTTGGTCTTACCACAAAACTGTCTTTAACGGGGAGCCAAAATATATCCCTTTCCAGAACAGGTGGGGAGACTTAGTAAGTTCCTTGTAAGCACAACGATGGCGCGCTACGTAGATCGCAAATTTAGTAGTATTTAATATAGTCCTATCTTTTAACTCCTTACTCTATCTTTATCCTGGGACCTGATTCTTGATTCTGCTTGGCTATGGTATCCGGGCCTCTGGACCGAGGTCGACCTCAGAGGCCGAGGCCGAGAGTCCATCGACCGAGGGGCCAAGGTCTATCGACTCAGGACCGAGGTCGATTGATGAAGGACCAAGGTAAGCCTTCAGGGATCGGTCTGAAAGTCCATTGACCGAAAAACCAAGGTCTATCCTCTGGCTTTCCAGTTCTTAAACGCTTCACCACAGCCGCCCTCCGCACTTGGTCAATGGTACAGCCGCTTGAGCACGCGCATGTCTTCGACTTCTGCATCCCGTAAGTACTCTAGCTTTTTGGCGTTTAATTTATGTTATTTTACTTGATGCACCTCAGCTGTTCCTTCCTCTGGGAAAGACCCACCACTTGAGGAGCCGGTCTTGGTCACTTTGTTTTCTTCACCACACTAAAGACCAGGGTATGCCAAAGAAGAACAAGGTTTACGATGATGGTCCAGGGTCGATACCCACCTGGCCACCATACTTATTTAAGTATAGTGACTATACATGTTTGCATAATAATAATAGGCTATAGAGCTAGTAAATAGTGACTAGCACTAAGTATAGAGTAGATGCTTCTATATTTAGTGTTAGAAGATAAACATAAATATAAATCAGTTTCAAACCTGCTCTGTAAGCCTTACAGCTTGAGCATTCTATTCCTTTGAAGGTATCAGTATCTTTGATACTAGTCTCTCTGAGACCCGGTTGTTAATACTGATAGGCACAAGCTTACGAGCTAGCCTAGGAGGGTTAAGCACCCTAAGACGTAGAAGCTCTCTGAGCTTGTCTTCCTCTGCACATAGTGCATACGTAGCTTGGCTACAGTAGCTCGGCTACAGGGTGGCCATAATTGTTTAGCAATTGAGTTTCGCATGCTAATGGCTTTTGTGCATGAGAAACAATCGCACTTCCTCAAAGGTTTGCAGTCAACAACTAACCGACCATTAGCGCTTGATTGGCGAGACGTATATGCAAGTTCTTGTCCGCACCGAATTTAGTTCTAGTCGCATACAAGAGCGCACACAAATCCATTTCAATACGTAGTATATGGACGATGTCGAGGATCTGGCTACACCCTATTAAAGTCTGACGACCCCATTAGCCAAATTCGGTGGTCAGCTACGGAAGCAAACTGTATCGCGCTGTGCGACGTAAAGGCGTTACACGTCATCCAAATGTAGTGTTTGTTACCTTGGCTTTCGTCTTGATGTAATCAGTAGCTGTATAATAATACTGCAACCAGGTTAGAAACGGTAAACTATATTTGATGTCGTAAGAAAAAAAAGGTGACATTTTAGTCCCTTTTTCTTTAGAAATAGAAACCATTTGAAAATCTAAAAAATGTAATTTTGTGATCATCCTATTAAATGCCCAAATTCAAACAAGTCCAAGCATGCCACGTCGGGTAGGTGATAAGACCATTGGTATTGCCTCAAAGAAGAAGCAATCAGGCGGTACAGAGAAGAAAAGCGTACAACAAATAAAGAAAACAAAAGAATCTTGCAGTGCCGAAGAAGAAACGCCGACGTAAGAATTCGTGGGATTACGAGGATGACGACGGTGATGTGGAGTTTGAAGCCCAGGAGGACTCTGGCAGTGAATCAGAGGAAAAGCCCAAGAAGAAGCGCATTCAGCGTCGTAATATCCAAGAAGAGAAGAAGAAAACAGTTGATCCCGTGCGTAGAAAGAAGACGACAGTCAAAGATATGATGCAAGACGAACAAGAAGACGAGGACGATCGTAGTTTGCTTGAGGAGAAACACCGGAATAGGATGCAGCAGTACGAACAGGACAGTGAGCAGTTGCTACAGGAAGTACGTGAACTAGCATTGCAAGAAAAAAGGACGCAGGAAAAGTTGATTGAGAAGCTTAAAAGAGATATCACAACGCTGTCCAAACAAGCAGAGGATGCACGCAAGAAACGGACAAAGGAAGTGGATAGACTCGTGGCTGACAAGATGCGCGAGTATGAAGCCGAGCAGAGGAAAAAGGACGATAGAGACGTGGAGAAGAAGGCTTTGCGTGAACGTATTAAGGAACTTGAGTCTCAGTTTGCGTCGTTCAAGAGGAGTACGGGACCGGATGATGTGGTGACTATCAACGCTGCTGCTTCAGCTGCCTCTGGTAGGGTTTTGCTTCATATGCGGACATGAATATTGACCTAATTGGTTTGATATGTCTTTTCTTGCATCAGCCATGCAAAACAGTGAAGCCATTATTCAACTTGACCAGGCGAACAAGGTAAGTAAAAAATGCTGCGTCAATATTCACATTACCTGACAAAAAATCTCTATGGATGAATGTGATTCTGTAGCTTTTGGAATTGTATCGCCTCGTGACCAGCACAAATATTCGTCTAATTCAAGCGACTGATGACGACGAGCAGGACAGTGACGATTGCGTTGAAATTGTGTGTACAACTACAGACTCAGCGACTGGAAACCAGTTTGAGTTTGAGCTGGCCGTTTCTGCCATCGTCTCAAGTGAAATCGAGTATCTTCCTAGCGAGAAGCCACCGATGGGTGTTCAAGTACCGTCATATTTACGAGTGCGTCCTTGCTGATTACTAACTGATCGAGATGAGTCATCTGATACTATAGTTTTCGTGTTGACAGGAGGAGCTGAGTTTTAGCAGGTCTGAGGTGACCAAGTTCTTTCGATCAGTTCTCGACGTCGTCATTAGGAAGAAGAAATCATAGACGCTGGCTTTTAGAGTAAGCTCATGGCTTATGATGTGGAGTTGTGCATCATGACGGCTATTTTCCTCATCTAATGGTGTTGGCCGCTTCTACTCTTTTACTCTTCCGCTTGTACAACCTCAGACTTTGATTCTTCCTTGATGAGCTTTGCAGTAGTTGCAGAAGCTAGTTCTGTAGGTTTCTCAATCAAACTTGTCTGTAAGATGGCGCGGAATTGCTTGAATTCGTCCTTAGAAAGCAATGACTCCTGAATCTCTGCGACTTCTACCTTCTTGGGTTGAATGATGACAAGGTATCCATCCGATTGGTGCTGCACGATTCAAGTGAGGAACCGAAATCTTCTTCCAATAGAGCAGAGCGTTCAACGTACCTTTTGCTTCAGCAATTTTGGCTCTTTCTGAAGACGCTCATTGATCTCAATCAAAGAGCCTCGAATGCAGCTATAGAGCTTGAATTCGCGACCACTTTTACATTTGAGGACACAGATCACCATATTTGGCAACATGAAGCAGCCACCTTTCTTCTTCTTGCCCGTCACACGGTTTTCCAGCACATTCCGTTCAAACTCGACACTCACGAGTTCTTCCTGCATAACTGGGTGGGATTCAGCCACACCTACTACACATAGTCGGTTGGAGTGCATATGCACGTACTGGTCTTCCATAACTTTGCCCATGGTATCACACGAGAACATTTCAGTATAGTAGCGCTCAATCTGCCCAGTAAGTATCCATCCAGAACACCACGTTAGTCTCAATTCAGTAGTCTAGATGACTGCAACTGTAGCTTACCATTGTGCCTCTACGTTTCGAGGTACCAGCGCCTTCATCTCCCGTCTGAAATTGCTCTTCTGCGCGATAAATTGCTTGTTTTCGAATGAGTCTTCGCTGGGCCGCGACCGAGTGTGGGTCATTGTCATTTACTTCAACTCTGCAGACGTAAGCTAAACACTTAGTATCACACTCAAGATAGTGGGCTTCATTTCAAACAAATGGATGGACAATTTACCGTCCGTGAGCGAATTTACAGTTGGAAAATGGACAGCCACCAGGCTTGTCAAAGTGTTTACATAAAGCGCTCTTACGCAATCGTTCACGTCTTTCCACACGTCGTTTTTTGGCCACAGGAGCTACAGATGTAGTAGATGAAGACGTCAGTGTAGTCAATGCATCAACGTTCGTTGCTAAAGATGCGGGTGGTGGTGCAGACGTCATTAGATTTTGAGCTAAATGCTCTTCCATTGATCGGTTTCTATCAAATCTCTTTGTGTTACCGGCCACTCATTAAGCAGACAGCAGATTTCTATGCCAGTGATTTCAATGCAATTGTATCGATAGACAAACTTGTTCTTTCTCTATTGCTTGTAATTGCTAATGCAGCCAGCCAGCTTTAATAGTGATCACCTGAGCTAATGAGTAAACGCAGCGTGATTATGGTGATTGTACAGCAATTCTATAGCTGTTCAATTCAACTAGGGAATCTCACGGAATGGAGACCAATCACGGTAGCACGAGTCAAATACCTTTTCAATGCATTCGTCTGCCTGTCAAAGCAAGAGAAGACATTGGTCAGTCTAAAGTCTTTGTCAATCTACAGCAAAAGTAAACAGATCGCATTCATGAATGGCACATGCCTTGCCATTGCACGCTTCATTCTGTTCGATGGACAGTCTTGCTCGTCTCCGTGTGCAGATCTGTGATTACACACATGAAACATTCATGTGACGTGCTGTCATATTCTTTTGACAAGACAAGATATCTCTAGTACCTGATGCTGCTTGTTAATGTTATAATTCTTACGGAAGAGCTCGTACTTCCAATTACAATCGCCACTCAACGCAGCGGCGCGAACCTATTCATCGTTGATCAGCAACATGCAAATCAACTCGTCCATTATTATTCCCTACCCATACATACACAACCAAACCATTATACAGCTTCACTGCTAGCCCGTACCTCACTACAAGCGTGATGTTCGCATTTGTTCCAGTCAATCTTGTTGCGGCAGTGGTCATATGCGTGGATCAATTCGTGTGCCATGGTACGGTCCATCCACTCTTGGTCTGGAATATGATTCTGGCACAGTACAACCTGCATCAAGACATCACACATTCACAGACTTGTCAGCTGCAATTCAACCCTGTAAACAAACACTTGACTTACCCCCGGCTTGCCCTCATCATCCAAATGAAACCCTCCATTGATTTTACCCTCACAATCTACACTGGAAAAGAATCCAATTTCCATCTTGCAGCCTAATTTCTCCATTGCATCAGCTAGAAACTTGACGCGTGAGCCTGCATTTCATCATAAAGTTGTGAGAGAGAGAGCGTCAGACAACAACATTCTAGATGATATGGTAATGGATTTTACTCACACTTGTTCAGCGATTTCTCACGCATATTCTCGCATTGTTTATGACGTTTTTCTGCTTCATTGAGATGCTGAGTCGCGTTCTTGAAGCTCGTTTTAAACGCTTCCATTGTGTCTTCCAGCTGTAGACACTAGGTTGTGACCACACACACGTATGACAGTAAGTGATAACCTTCAAGATATGATACAAATTGCGTTTTTGACGTATCATTGATAATATAACTTTCACTTTTAATATAATAACCTTTATGAATCGATTAGCACTTTTCAATGACGTAGATGGATGGATGTCATCTAAAGACAAAATGCAAGTCTATGAGGATAGATCAGTGGATCGTTCGTTGTACATGATATAGACCTATAGCGTGACGATGCAAATACAACGGCATAAACGTACTGCGAGACTTTAGGTGCGTTGCACAGCCAAAGAGACGTCTTTCCAAGAACCGAACAAGCAAGCAAACACCCACAAATCTATTCCAGTTCCACAATCGCACCTACAGCCTTTAGCTTCTCAACAAGTTCGTTGGCCTCTTCCTTCTTTACACCCTTCTTTAATGTACTAGGGGCTCCCTCAACAAGCTCCTTCGCCTCTTTTAAACCCAGACCAGTGATAGCGCGCACCTCCTTAATAACTTTAATCTTGCTCTTGGCATCAAAGCTGGCCAATTTCACATCAAATGCAGTCTTTTCCTCCTTTGTCTCTTCAGCAACAGGGGTAGCATCACCACCAGCACCACCACCCATGCCAACCTGAAATGCAGACTCGGCGATACCAAACTTGGTCTGTAAAGCACGTATAACATTCAAAAAGCTCACGATTAACACGGACATACAGCATAAATATTATTGTTATTGCAGTAGCATCATACTTGAATAGCGTGCGAAAGCTCTGCAATCTCAATCATATTAAGCTCCAATATCTGGTCCAACACTGTCTGTACTTTAGGCGTAAGAGCTAGCTCCTCCTCAGCACTCGTAGGCAAGTTAAAAGGATCCTCAGTCGAGAAAAAAGCTACTTGTCCTAGACGCTTATAGTTCACACACATGCGACGGACAGCGAGACCACGTAGCGACACTCGAGACACACGTGAAAGCATTCTTAAAGCCGTAAGATTGTGTGAGATATAAATGAGGTTACAAGCGGCTATGAGCATCAATCGACGTTCAATAGCCACGAACCTTTGACATGGGTATTTATCCAATAAGATAGTAGCTACGAACAACAATATCATCTACTGGTTGTAATGAAAATGAATGTGTTTCAGCCAATAAGAACGTGATCATGCAATGCTACGTGTCGTCGGGAGGGCGGGGGATACAATACAGTACTTACACATAGTAATAATATCTGAGGAGCTTTACTACAATGATAATGAAAAGGTTTTGGCTCTTTGCTACGGCAATGGTAGCCGTGTCCGTACAGGGTGAAATAATTAATCAATCGGTATGTGATGCAGCTGTAGTTTTCTTGCACTTAATGATGATGATTAGAAGTAGTACTGGATTGCCTGCCTGCCGTATCATAAATGTAAACTCATCTTCTCTATATCATGTCTAGATCCAACGAACGATCGATTTGACTAAGCACGTGGTGCGCGAATATACTGAGTATAAATTTATGGATACTAAAGCACAAGTGGTAGAGTATGATATGGCTTTTCCTCGTGCACTAGAGACGAAGTTGGCCTATGTCTCGGCTCGTTGTGGTAAAACCACGTGTGAGATTACGCCAGCTACACAGAAGAAGAAAGCTAGCGTCAAGGTACCTGAGGATGTTACACTCTACACGATATTTCTGGATAAACCCCTGGATAAAGGGGAAATGGGATCAGTGAAGGTGTCGGCTTACTTTACTCGTACGCTGAAGCCGTATCCAGCGGAAATCAAACAGAGTGAAGACCAGCTTGTGCTTTTTGATGCGAGCTACCTCGTTACTTCGCCTTATGTGACTAAAAAGCAGGCTACGAAGCTGAAATTGTCGACGAGCAAAGTGGAGAGTATTCATGCAGCTGAGCCCGTCGCTAGGAAGGGATTTGTGGTCATCCTTGGACCGTATAATGACATCAATGCATTTGCTGCTGGGATGGAGGCTTCACCTCTGAGTGTGCATTACAAGAACCACGCACCGTTTGCAACCATCACCAAGCTTACACGTGAGATTGAAGTGTCCATGTGGGGTCGTGTGTCGTTTGAGGAGGTGTACGACATGGAGCACACTGGTGCCAAGCTTAAGGGCGGTTTTTCCCGGTTTGACTATATGCACCTCCAGCATCGCAGCGCGTCGTTTTACGAGATGCATGCACACCTGCCGAAGGACTCAGTGAACGTGTACTACCGTGATCAGATTGGCAACGTCTCCACTTCGTCTCTGCGACCCGCTGGCCGCACGGGCTCGTACCAGGATCTCAAGTTTGAGCCACGCTTTCCTATGTTTGGCGGCTGGAAGAACCAGTGGTACATGGGCTACTCGGTCCCCACGCACTCGGTGCTGACTCGCAGCGGTGATAAGTTTAAGCTGAAGGTTGACTTTTCTACACCTGTTAAGGGTGTTGCCGTGGATGATCTCGTGGTCAAGGTGATTCTACCGGAAGGTGCCACTAATGTACAGGTGAAAGTGCCGTTTAGCGTGGATAGCACAAGCAGGACCACACGCCAGACTTACTTGGACACACCTGCAATTGGCCGGCCTGTGGTGATTTTGAGCAAGAAGAACGTAGTGGCTGCCCACAACAAGCCGTTTGAAGTGACTTTTGACTTCCCGCAGTACTTCATGATGCACGAGCCGCTACTGCTGGTATTTGGCTTCCTGTCTATTTTCATCGTTAGCATGTGTCTCTTCCGTCTGGACATCAGCATTGCGAAGAAGCCGATGCAAAAGATGAAGACAGAATAAGTGTCATGCTGCTAATCGACACGTTCAATAGCAAATTGCGAAAGAAGCGTTGCGTGTGCGAAAGAGTGATTAAGCATTAACTTTGTCTGCAATTAATTGTCTGAATGTCCTGGCTACATACTCGGACCTATACATCATTGGAAAAATTAGAAAATATAGAAATTAAAACTAGAGAAGCCACAGAAAAACATACAAGAAGAGCAAACAAATATTTTGCGAGTTTGCAGTATTTTCGTTTGCTTACGGTGTTTTTCCTTGTAGGCCTGAGAAAAGCTACGCTAACGCAGCTTGACGCGTGCTACAAAGAGCAAAAGAGCTGCTCAAAAGTCATGGAAAAAGACTTACGAACGGTTCTGGTGAGCAAGAGGGCCCATCCACTTGGCCTTCTCCTCTGCCGTCTGGAAACGACCGTGACCGAACTTTGACGACGTATCAATAAACTTGAGCTTGATCTCCTCGAGAGCCGAACGCTTCGTGTGCACCAAGAGCGACTTGCGTAGGGTCAGTGCCCGTTTCTTCGTACCAACGATCTGACCCTTAATCATGAGCCAGTCCTCGTTGATTACACCGTAGTGCGGGAAACCGCCTAGCGGCGTGATATCCTTCTCAGTCAGGTCTTGCTCGGTCATACACGATTTCTTGTCACCAGCTGCACCAATACGATAGATCTTTTTGTTAATCTCCGTACGGTGGTGGTAACCGTGCTGACCAGCGCGCGGTACCGTAAAGCGAACACGCGACGGGTGCCAGGCACCGATACAAGCGACCTTACGCAAACCACGATGAGTCTTACGCGGCAAACGGGTAACACCCCAACGAGTAATCACACCTTCGACACCGTGACCCTTGGTAACTCCAATGACGTCAATCATCTCGTCCTTAGCAAACACAGCTGTGACGGGCACTTGCTTCTCAAAGAGGGACTTGGCAAAGTCAACCTTTTCGGCCACCGAACCACCATTCACTTGCACCTCAAGAATATGAGCCTTCTTCTGACGAAGCTTTACTTTGCGCACTTGCGTATGAGCAAGTACACGGACAACTTGACAGTACTTCTTGATGCGATTAAGCTCATTTTCAATCTCCGCAGGGGCCGTTTGGTACTTTTTCGCATACTTGGTGAAAGCTTTACGCTTGGATTTGTACCAGTTCTTGTAAAACCGACGCTTTACCTCCTCGCTCAGATGCTCAGCAAACACTGTCGTAAGAGTGCGCAGACCACGTGGGGTCTCCAAGTATCCAACAACACCAATAACGACCATTGGAGGCGTTTCAACAATCGACACAGGCTCAACAATCTCCTTCTTGTGCACCTTTGACCCGGGACGGTCTACTTCACGAAGAATGTGCGTCATACCAGCTTTAAAACCCATAAATGCTGTCAGATGCGGTGCCTTGGACGCATCATCACGAGGAAACTTGCGAACACGACCGCGATGATGTTTCGTACGTTTCTTAGGAAGAAACCCAAGATGTCCATGACGTGGAGCCTCAAACTTACGATGACCCATCTTTACTATCCAACTATTACTGCAAAACTCAAAATGCAGATCGGGTCAGGGGGGGGTGACCCAATTAAACAGGAAGCGCCGGGAGCCAACCACTTTTTGATCGGAAATAAACGAAGCAAACAATCTCAAATATCAACACATCATTTCACGTTATTGTAATTTTTGTAATTCAATAAGTTCGCATCTTAAGTACGGATTGTATCCTTTCGCATTCTCAAAGGCAACTAACTCGCAGGTTTCCTTTTGTCATTTTTTAATCGTTCGTTTCCCTTCTGCCGCATTCTCTTCTTCCTCTTCCGACTCTTGTGGTTGTTGTTGCGATTGAAATGCATATAAAACAAGTAATTGTGTGCGGTTTCCGTAGCTATAAAGATCAAATTATTGTTGAACCATTTAGTAATCAACACAATGTCGTAATTGGACGTAATGGAACAGGTAAATCAAATTTCTTTGATGCAATTCGTTTTGGTCTTCTTACATCACGTTTTGCAACTCTTCGACCGGATGAAAGACTTAATTTATTACATGAAGGATCAGGTAAACATATCATGTCTGCATATGTAGAGATTGTCTTTGATAATACGGATGGACGCTTACCTGTGGATGATAATGAAGTTACATTACGACGTACGATTGGTATAAAGAAGGATGAATTCTTTTTAAATCGAAAACACATTACAAAGACTGATGTGATTCATTTATTAGAAAGTGCAGGGTTTTCACGTTCGAATCCATATTATATTGTACAACAGGGTAAAGTCAATGCTCTTGCTGTTATGCGTGAACGAGAGAGATTGGAACTACTGAAGGAAGTTGCAGGTACTAAAGTATACGAAGATCAAAGAATTAAATCACTGAAGATTCTACACGAGACACAGACACAGCGAGAAAAGATTCAGGAAGTGGTGAATTATATTGAAGAGAGATTAAGTGAATTGGAAGAAGAGAAGCAAGAGCTTCAAGAATATCAACAACTAGACAGAGAGCAACGTGCTTTAGAGTATACGATGCATGAGAAGGAATTGCAAAATATACGTGCTGAGATTGAGACAATAGACAAACAACGACAGGAGGAGAGTGTGCGGTTGACAGAGTTACATGAAAAGCTCATGCACGTTCGGGCAAAAAGTAATCAACTTGAAAGTGATCATCGTAGTAAAAAGCAAGATCTAATACAACTTGTGGAGGAGCGAAAGAGTCGAGAAGAGGAGCGAAAGGAACTGATGGAGGCTAGATACAAACTCGAAATGGAAGCGGAAGAGCTGAAAGAACAAATCCACACGGATGGCGTACAGAGATCCACAGTATCGAAGCAAGTGGAAGTGGTGAAACGCGAAATCGAAGCCAAGCAAGCCCAGCTAAATCGTGAGATTCTACCCGCACTTCAACAGGCAGAGCAAGCATATGACCAAGTGGCACGTAAACTTCAGGAGTGCAAAGCACAGTCAGAGCATCTTATTGCCAAGCAGGGTCGGAAAAGTCAGTTTCACACCCAGCAACAGCGTGACGACTACCTTCAGCGTGAAATCAGTGATATCGAGGGACTGGTGCGCAGGAAAGAGTCCGACACAGCGTCGTTGCGACAATATATTAAGGGCTTGGCGCAGTCGATCGAGGGATCTGAGCAAACGCTCCAGCAGCAGATCGATGAGCTACGTGAACACCGTCTTCAAGTGGACACTGTCGGGACGGAAGTGCTTCGTCTGAAAGAGCACCGCAACATCTTAAATGAAGAACGAAAGGCAAAGTGGCGCGAGGATAACCAGATATCCTACCACGAGCGTGAGCTCAGAAAGAAGTTAAACAATGGTGAAAATGCTTTGCAGAGCACAATGGGGTATGGTGTCCGCCGTGGTCTACAGGCAGTGCAAGAGATGAAAGATCGGATCCAAGGAATTTATGGACCCTTGATCGACCTCGTAAAACCTGTTGATGAACGTTATTGTATCGCTGCGGATGAGGCTGCTGGTGGTGCTCTTTTTCATGTAGTCGTAGATACGGATGACACTGCTGCACGTATTATGCAAGAATTAGACAAGAGGAATTTGGGACGGCTTACTTTTTTTACCTCTCAATCGCTTGAAGGTGAAGGAGCATTTCGACTATCCTCGAAGTGAAGATGTTGTTGCACTAGTCGATAAGCTGGAATACCCTGCAGAAATTCGGAAGGGTGTTATGGCCGCATTTGGTAAGAAGTTGTTATGCCCGGACTTGGACGCGTGCGGTCGGTATGCTGAGCAGACAAACATGGACTGCTTAACGTTGGACGGTGACATGGTCCATCGGCGTGGTGCTTTGAACGGTGGCTTTAAAGATCCACGCCGATCTCGTACCCGAGCAATGATGGAAGTGAAGCAGGCGCAATTGGATCTTGAAAGCATCGTGAAAAAGGCTCGTAGAGTGAAGGCAGAAGGCCAAAAAGCTGATCAGAAAGTGACCGGAGTGATTAGTGAGATTCAAAAGCTTGAGGCTGACAAACACCGCGTAATTTCCGCCCACGATCGCTTGTGCAGCGAGATTTCACAACTTAAGAGCCATATTCTCACCCAAAAAGAAAATTTGGCGCTGAGAGAGCGAAGCTGTGAACTTCAGGAACGAGAAATAAACGCTTTGGTCGAAAAAATCAAGTCGCTTCGCTCAGAACTTCTTTCGCCGATGCAAGACACTTTGACAACTGACGAACAAAAGCTGCTGCACTCGTTGTCAACAACGGTCATGTTGCTAGAGACAGAAGAACGAGATCGAAGACAACAACTGGACGACGTACGTTCTCAACAAGAAAGCATAAAAGCAGTTTTAGATGAAAATTTGATCAGGCGTGAAAATGAGCTGGTGAAGCAACTTGGCGAAGGAATTGAAGGGCTTGCAGTTAATGAGCGAGAAGAGAGTTTGAAAGCTAAGCAGATCGACTTGCTTGAGGCGTCACGTTTAGTGGATGACAACACTTCATCGTTGAAGGACCTTGAGCAGAAAATCAACACGTTGCAGCAGGAAATAACAAGTGAAAATATGCAGGTGGATGCATTGAACGGAGAGGATGTCTCATTAAGTGACCAGATTCAGCACGAGGCCCGGCGAGCAGAGAAGATCTTGAATAAGCGCCGGCGGCTGCTGAAGAAGCGTGACGACGTATCCCGAGATATCCGGGAGCTGGGAACTTTGCCCATTACTGAGCTTGAGGAGTTCAAGGTGCTGTCTTATCAAGACGTGATCAAGCAGTTCAAACGTCGAACTGAGAAACTACAGAAGTACAGCCACGTGAACAAGAAGGCGTTGGATCAGTTTATGAGCTTTCACGAGCAGCGTGCAACATTTTTGGAAAGAAAAAAGGAGATAGACGATGCTTACAATTCGATCAAAGACCTGATCGATGTCTTAGACAAGCGCAAAGACGAAGCCATTTTTCGCACGTTCAAAGGAGTGGCGGGCTTTTTCTCAGAAGTTTTTCGCGAGCTGGTACCAACGGGAGAAGGCAAGATGATTCTTGTTGCCGCGGATACGAATCAGACCAATAACATAGATGGTGATGATACGTCGCGAAAGTCAAACGTCGACACGTACTCTGGCGTGCAGATTAAGGTGAATTTTCGTGGCGAGGGAGACTCCTACTTGATGCAGCAGCTCTCGGGTGGTCAAAAGTCGTTGGTAGCCCTTGCTTTCATCTTCGCAATCCAACGGGTCGACCCAGCTCCTTTCTATTTGTTTGACGAGATTGACCAGGCATTAGATTCTACTCACCGAGCTGCGGTTGCGGCATTGATTTATCGGCAAGCGCACTCGAAGGAGAGCCCGGCTCAGGTGCGCATCCTATTTGTCTGCAAGTGTTAATATATGCTGATTGGATATTGTTGTTATATGATACAGTTCATCACGTCAACATTCCGCCCTGAGCTCGTGAATATTGCTGACAAATTCTATGGCATAGGCTACCAAAACAAAATCAGCAATGTCTACTCGATGACAAAGGAAGAGTCCCTTGACTTTATCTCGAATATCATGGCGGAAGAAGAGGGTGTGACAGGACCGTAAGTGCAAGGACATGTTCCTACCCCTCCCGGCTTGCTATCTTTCTTTAGTCGATCAACCATTTTAATTTCCAAACAATTGAACCTTCACTTGTATGTGAAGGTAACTTTACTCTATCAAGTACCATGTGTTGACCGCACTCGTTTGCCTGATTTTCGTAGACCTAGCGCATCACGCTCCTCGGCTTGTTTTGACTTGAAAGCATGCTTCAGACTCTCGAGCTTCTTCTCAGTGACAGGCCACTCGTTGCACGCCTTGGCATTTTGCCAGAAGAAAACACTCGTGTCGAACGATGCGATGCGCCAACGGGTCTTTCGGATCTGCTGCTTGCCTTCACAGTAGCCATGTTGCTTCTGTGGGACAAGAAGATGCATTTGATTAAAACGACTAGTGTTGAGTCTTCGCCATCCCTACCATCAAAACACCGTTAGTAAGTCTGCCTTGACCCAGGGACCTATTTTGCAAATTGTACCTCAGTCTCCTGCCACGCTGGTATGATGACGATAAACGCCAAGGGCCCATCGGCAGCAGTAAGTAGCGCTGTCATATGATCTGCCATGCGTTCAATTACTCTGGGAATAAAAGGCGGATTGGCTTCAAAGCATCTGTGTCCAAATAGTGAATCACCAAAAATGTCGTTAGCTCGATCTCCGTAACATAGAAGACAACATACCAACAATAGACTTACTAACACATACCCAGACCGAGGCGAAAAATCAAAAAAGCTGCCCACACTTCCAAACACAAAATCCGTATCAAGAAATGCGCTGCAGAAACGCGAGTAGCGGCAGTTTAAGGGTGAAGCAAAACACTCCATTCTGCAATTAAATTCTTCCAGCAGCACGCCAAAGCACTCTTCATTAAGCGCAGCCTATTCCCAGAAAAAGCAATAACTCGTTAAACTAGCAACAACAGCAAAATGCACTTGAGCCAGTCCCCTCATACCTGAAAACCTCCTCCATCTAGCGATTCATAACGCAGAAGCAAGCAAAAAAGAGCATTTTCGAACTCACATTGGTCCTTTAGTGCCATCCGTGACCTGTCCAGTCCCTGCTTTCGAGCATACATCTCGCACAGCTTGACATAATGTGCTGCGCTGAGTTTTACCGTTGATTTTCCGTACGCCAATTGGAACGAACCGCCTTCTTCCATCACCGTAACCCGCACCTTTTTCTTGCCAGCCACAAAGTCTTGCTGACCAAATTTGCGCAGCATCCGTTCGGATTCCCTTGTAAGCTCCTTGCACTTCTTTCTAGCTCCCGACTTGGAGGCCCCAGCCTTGCACAGCTCTTCAAAAAGTCCACTATAGTCACTTCCGTCATGAGAAATGAGTGGATCGTGCTCTTTCACTGTAAGCTGCGACGTAAATTGCCACGTCTCGTAGACTGAGTTCGGCACCTTGCCGATGCCTAGATCTTCACTGGCGCGGCGAATTTTGCTACAGAGAGTGCGAACAATTTGCTGCCGTGCAATCTCCATCGCCGGATTAGTTGTGCACGACTTGGCGGCGTCTGTCACCTTAGCGAGAACGGTAAAGTCCAGCGACATCTCTTCCTGCGGGTTCCAGATGTCCGATGGGGGCGTAAGTAACGTCTCTCGCTCGCGTTTTTTGCTCGTAGACTTGGACACTTCAAATTCTGTAGTAGCAGCAGCGTTAGATTTCTCAGGCAGTGACGCATTGCCTGTTGCTGCTGCCATGGACGCCAGAATGGTCTCTAACGTGTCTGCCATTGCGTTGCTTCTGGATAAATTAATTATTTTACTTCTATACAAAACAATATATTTATTTGGTCTTTTAATTAATTGATAAACCTGTCAAAAATAAAAATATATTACCATAAACTTACATGAGTGAAAATAGATTCCAATATTACAACAAATATCAACCCGTTTTCTTTTTTCCTAGATTAGGTTCATTCAATCCATAACTTGGCCTCGATATGCTTTAGACCTTGAGTATCTATCTCCTGTAAGTTTGATATAAATGGAAGACAAAGATGGCCATAACATGCGATAACGCCGCAGCTTTTCAGACCACTGATGTAGCATCAAAGGCGATTGTACGATCGACTGGGTTGGCATCGTATCTATCTTTGCTGCTATTCCGCTGACGGCAGTTTAGCGAAGACAGAGAGGAATATTCGAGTTTTCAGATGATGTGCCCAAGACTTTGCATGTCACTCGAAGATAGGGTGGAGAAGGTTGTTCATACAGTCCAATGAAATCAATTAGAGGATTGTACGAAATGTGGAGTCAATTCAAGTGGTGGTTTCAATCAGAACCCGTGCCAATCTCAGGTCAAACAACCTCATGATTCTTCAATTTGTTGCAAAGCTAGCCGTACTCGAAGATCCGCACATCCCTTTCATGTCCGGTACATCCCCAGTTGTCGACGCGATGCTGATCAAATCACACTACGCGCATGTTCCGTAACGGACGTGATCACCGCAGAATCCTAACCACAAGGTCCCAGATCATACGCGTTAGTTGCGCCAAATGTGGCCCGCAACAGCGTCTTGTGGACTTATAATTGCACACTCATTCGCAGTGCTGGTAAAGTTTGCAGCAGCACGTGACAATCATTCTATCATTCTGTCTCTAGAATTATCATTAGCAAAACCTCCATCCTTTCAGTCCACAAGAGCCGAGTGTACATGCGAACATGATTTTTGACAGCTCGTACCTTCAAGTCAAAGACGAGTATTCAGTCAACCAAAGGGTGTGCAAGTTCCATTCTTATCCAGTATCACGCATCAGATCGCGTCAGCCAATCCACAACGTGCTATGACTCGCCCTCGTAAGCATGAACCTTTGGCTCCTCGTCTTGCCAATACAAATATAATTCCCACACTGTTTTTGCACGGTCATTTATCCGGCATATGCCAAGGTTGAACGTAACATGATAAAAAACGTCATTGAGCCTAGCACATGTATACTCAAAGTAGCACTTCTTGACACACGGCTTGGAATGAAAATCAAGTGCTAGTCGGTCGTTATCTTTCGCTGGGTCTCGTGCCAGCTGATTGATAATAATGACAGAGATGACACAACCTTTTTTCTCTTGGGTTTAGTACTGCATACAGCTAGGCGACGTCTACACACCATCGTAATTTATCGGTAATTTACGTCTTTGGAAATCTATCTGGACCACACGGCTTGGTATTGGCATTTCGGGATATCCCATTGGACACTGAACGCTGATTCGCTCTGTATAATGCTCGCTAGTTCCATGACCGCTCGCGCTGCGCGACAGCAGTTGCGCTTCCCGAGCATGAGGGTGAGTAAAGCTACGTGTCTTGTGAGGGGGGGGAATAGTAAACGGTGTACAACATTAGATCTCCTCCCTTCACGTAGTAAAGAACATATTGGTTTCAAACCCTTTTATTTGACGGTATAGTAATGTCTTTTCTTCACTCCTGTAGGCTAAAATGTCGTCTAGCTGCAGTGTTCCCGTTCCCCTGTCCGTACTAGACCCTAAGGGCAGTCCCACAATTGATCAAACATACGAGAAGATAGAGAAGAAGCTACATACGGTGCGCAAGACCACTGGTAACAGACCCCTTACGCTCGCTGAGAAGATCATTTACGGTCACTTGGATGATCCCACTACCAATGCCAAACGCGGTGAGACTTACCTCAAGCTGCGTCCAGACCGTGTGGCCATGCAGGACGCCACAGCTCAGATGGCCGTATTACAATTCATCTCGTCGGGTTTGCCAAAGACCGCCGTGCCCACGACAATTCACTGTGACCACTTGATCACAGCCGAAAAGGGCTCAGACACTGACTTGGACAACGCCAAAATCGTCAACAAGGAGGTTTACGACTTTTTGGCGTCGGCTGGCGCCAAATTTGGCATGGGCTTTTGGAAGCCTGGCAGCGGTATTATCCACCAGATCGTTTTGGAAAACTATGCTTTCCCTGGAGGTCTCATGATTGGAACCGACTCACATACGCCCAACGCCGGTGGCTTGGGTATGTGCGCCGTCGGCGTTGGTGGTGCTGATGCTGTCGATGTGATGGCCGGCATGCCTTGGGAGCTTAAGGCACCCAAGGTCATTGGTGTAAATTTGACGGGTAAGCTGTCCGGCTGGACCTCGCCGAAGGATGTGATTCTTAAGGTGGCTGACATTTTGACCGTCAAGGGCGGAACCGGTGCCATTATGGAGTACTTTGGCCCTGGTGTCGAGTCTATTTCGTGCACGGGCATGGGAACAATATGTAACATGGGTGCTGAGATCGGTGCCACGTGCTCTACGTTTCCTTACACGGAGCGCATGGGTGACTACTTGCGCTCCACAAAGCGAAGCGGCATTGCCTCGGCTGCTGAGTCGTTCCAGGTTAATTTGCGTGCTGATGAGGGCGCCTACTACGACCAAATTCTCGAGATCAACCTGGATGAGCTAAAGCCAATGTTGAACGGCCCGTTCACGCCTGACCTTGGTCACATTGCTGGAGCTGAAATGAAGGAAGCTAGTGAGAAGAACGGCTGGCCCACGGAGCTAAGTGCCGGTCTCATTGGTTCGTGCACGAACTCCAGTTACGAAGATATGACTCGCTGCGCCGACCTGGCCAAGCAAGCTAAGGACGCAGGTCTCAAGTTTAAGGTGCCGTACTACGTGACGCCTGGTTCAGAGCAGGTGCGCGCCACCATTGCTCGCGATGGTATCCTGGACACGTTTGTTGAATCGGGTGCTACAGTCCTTGCGAACGCTTGCGGTCCATGTATTGGCCAGTGGAACCGTACTGACATACCTATGGGCGAGAAGAATTCGATTCTCACATCGTATAACCGCAACTTTGCCAAGCGTGCTGACGGCAACCCCGCCACGCATAGCTTTGTGACGTCCCCCGAGATGGTGACTGTTGGCGCGATTGCGGGTACTACGACGTTTGACCCCGCAAAGGACACGATCATGACGCCAGATGGAAAAGATTTCAAGTTTTCTACTCCATTTGGCAAGGAACTCCCACTTCGTGGCTTTGACCCCGGTGAGGAGACGTTCCAGGCTCCGCCTGCCAGTGGTGAGGGGCTGACGGTGAACGTTGATCCGCAAAGCGAACGCCTGTCCCTTCTGTCTGCATTTGATGAGTGGAACGGCGAGGATCTGGTGGATATGCCAGTGCTGATCAAGGCAAAGGGCAAGTGCACTACCGACCACATCAGTATGGCTGGCCCGTGGCTGAAGTACCGTGGTCATCTGGACAACATCTCGAACAATATGCTTATTGGTGCTGAGAATGCCGAGACTGGCGAGACGAACAGTGTCAAAAACCAAAATTCGGGCAAGTTTGACAAGGTGCCAGCAGTGGCCCGCCAGTACAAGGCCGACGGTATTAGCTGGGTAGTGATCGGTGACGAGAACTACGGTGAGGGTAGCTCACGCGAGCATGCTGCTCTGGAGCCGCGTCACCTTGGTGGCCGTGCTGTTATCGTAAAGTCGTTTGCGCGTATCCATGAGACGAATCTGAAGAAGCAGGGCATGCTGCCGCTGACATTTGCAAACCCGTCAGATTACGACAAGATTACGGGCAACGACAAGGTTTCCATTTTGGGCTTGAAGACTTTTACGCCCGGCAAACCGCTGACACTACGCGTGACTCCTGCTTCGGGTGAAGCTCCTTTTGACATTACGGTGAATCATACATTCAATGAGGAGCAGATTGAGTGGTTTAAGAGTGGCAGCGCGTTGAACCTGATGAAGAAGAGCAATGTTTAAACAGTTTTCACCTTCACGAGCTTCTAGGAGAAACAACAAATTTGAAGGAATATGGAGACTTTGCAGTAGCGTGAAATATTGTTTTTGTTTGTATGAATCACTAGTCGTATGTGATACTTGGTACTTGACACTGTTTTGTTATGAACAAACACTTACTATCATGTATCTGTCGTTCAGCGATAGAAACTCTGATATTGCATTTGTTCCAGATCTCTCAAAACTAATTGCAATCACTATTTACGGTTTTACCAAAAGACGATAGCTTCTGACTGCTTTGTAACATTAAACGGCTAGCAATGTATCGCAGATAATTCCATTGCAAGCCTGAATGTCGTACTTAATCGCACAATCAGTATGATGTGATGACAAAGGATATAATTATTCTATCTCATATCAAGTGTCTTATCAATTATGGCGAGTAATGGCCCAAGTCTCGGTAGTTATACGCCTTTTACAGGCTTTATCTTCATCTTCAACCTCATTGTTGGTGCTGGTGCACTCACTATCCCACACGCTTTTGTTAACGTAAATATTCTTGCAATTACTTCGTTCATATTACCGAATAATAATGCTTTAAATAAGAACAATTCGTCTTCTCTCTCTTGTAATTTGTTTCTATTGTAGGTTGGCATCATTTATGGCTCCATTTCTTTGTCTCTACTAGCATCAATCAGTTATGTGACGGCCACCTATATGATTGAAGCCATTGCAGGTGTTAACGCCCTCAAGCGACGTGCTCGCGAGATAGGAACAACCGTTAGCAACGATGGTGAAAAGCTGCTATTGGACGAGCTCAGCGACAGCGATGACGGCGACGTGCACACGGAGTTTATGCCACTTGTGGTTACCAATGAAGTACTATTGTACATTGATACTGTTTTTCTGGATCCGTAAGCTTATGCGTTGAGGTATGTGATGTGATGTAGAAGCAAGACATACCGGAGCAAGAGTTACGGACGAGACACAAGAAATTGAGATTTCACTTTGATCTGTCCAAGAAGGTAAGCACTAACAATGATTGCGTACTGGAAGTAGTGCACAGGTAGTAAAAACTCTGCTGTGTAGATTGAACTGGCTGAAATGGCTGAATTGCTGTTCAGTCACCACGGAATTATTGCCTTTTACGCTTGTGTTACAGTCTATCTGTACGGCGACCTGGCCATCTATGCTGTCGGTATGTTGACATAGTATGGGAAAGCAATGCGCTTTGTTGTGATGCTCACGATTGGTTTCGTTGTTGTTTTGCTTTGCCTTCCGGGTGATATGCAGCCGTTCCCAAGTCCTTGCGAGAGATCATTTGTCCTCGTCCCTCTGCTGACGCTATTGTCTGGGAGTGCTCGGAAAGGCTCAACAGCTCGGACTTGTACCGTCTCTTTGTTGTGCTTTTTGGTCTGCTACTCAGCCCCTTCACATTTGGCCACGTGCACAAGACGCGCACACTTCAGCTTGTTTCCACTGTTATTCGCCACGCATCTTTTGGGCTGATGATTGTGCTTGCCAGTTTTGGAATTGCGCGAGGCCACGGACGAAGCTTAGCTGATGTCGTGAGTTATGAAAAGTCCTCGAACATCGCTACGTTTTTTGGCGTGTGCATTTATTCCTTCATGTGCCATCACAGGTATGCACGAAAGCCAATTTGTTGCGTATAATCGGTGTAGTTTAATAGTTGGCCTCTTGTTTTTCCAATATTGCAGCGTCCCCGGTCTCATAGCACCTGTCACAGACAAAAGAAAAGTTAGCACGATCCTGAGTGCGGCCTTTATGGTACAGTTTTTTGGATCGTCGCATGCGTGCTGTTCATTTTTAGTGGTTGTACTGACGTTTTGTTTGCTGGATGTGTATGTGCTTGTAGGCGGTCCTGAGTGTTTATTTCGTGCTATCTGTTTCAGCCACCTTTCGCTTCCAGCCAAACGACGTCGAGGTTTGTTCGTAGTGGCACTATTGCACTGACCATGCTAACATATTTTGGTGTCTATTACTCTTATTACTACTACGTAGGATGTGTATACACTGAATTTCAAGAATTACCCGGTTCAAGCATTTGGATACTTTCTAAGCTTATTCCCAGTGTTCACACTGAGGTAAGGGAATATATTTTTTTCCTTTACAGTTAAGTTTCATACTAACAAAATATTGAATTAATCTTCTAGTGCAAGTTTCCCGCTAATCTGCATCACGCTTCGTGAAAATATTCGCCACCTTGCGTCACGCATGAGCGGGTCAACACCAGCAAGCGACATTACTTCTCCAAACGGTCTGTGTGACTTTCTGAAAATCAACATGTACGCGCTAGTGGCGCTTCTTCCGCCGCTCGTTGTCGCGTTCTTCACTGAGGATGTGTCAATGCTTGTGGGTTTTACGGGCGCGTACGCTGGTTTGGGTATTCAAGTACGTAATAAATTGATCTGCATTTCTCCCTGCCGTGTGTTCTCAGGTACGTACTTACAATGCTACAACGTGCTCTTGTGCTTTGATATTGTCCAGTGGATTGTCCCAACGTGTCTAGTCTTTTATTTACGCCATTGTCTTGCAATGGAATGGAAACAAATGCATCCCATGGACATGACGGTGACACATCGAGATTTTGTCGCAATATGTGGCAATAAGAATCGCTATGCGAGTCCATTTGGTCATAAGATGTGGCTTTATCTAGTGCTTGGGCTTTCACTATTATCTCTTATCTTGATTACATTTGTACATTGGATGCATTAAGTAGTATGAAGTAAGAAAGTTAAGTTGATATATCTATACATTGTATACTGTGTATATATAATGAATAAAAACATATATATACAGCTGCTTCAAGTGTTTGTTTGTTTTGTTTAAGAAAGACGTTGAAGTTTATAATAGCCGTTACTTTTCATTTTATTTTAGATGTGACAAACGTCTTTCGTGCCGGACCAAATCATTGCGTACCTTCATTTATCTTAAGTAGACTAAGAAGAAAAAAAACAGCCTCGTTTGTCATGATGATCGTATCGACTGAATTGTTGAATAGAAAGTGTTTTCAACCAATCAGCAACGAGTCTTTCTATCTACTTACGTGTTACAAGAGAACACGCTCTCTTTTTATCATATAGCGTCTGATCGACTTGAGACTAGCGGCTTGACGACTTTATCACACTTGTTTCTTTTAGCTAATACGTCATTATTATTATTATCTACACGTTGACGTGTTATCGTGCAAAAGAAACCAAAGAAAGAAGAAAATTTTTCATATTCAATAACAACAAGAACGTGAATTACCCGAGTCCTTAGCATACCATTTCTTTTTCTCCTCATGGCTGCATTTAAAGGTTTATATGTAACTCTTAAGTAGTAGTAAAAAATGGTCGATTATTAGGATGAATAATAAGTTAGCTAACTGTTGTTGGATATGTATATATTTCTATGTATGTATTGTAAATGATATGACAGCTCCCCCATTATCGGCTTTTTTTCGTAAGGAAGAAGACAAATTAGTCACTCAAGGACTTACGGATGTTCATGGTGTAGCAATGTTTCATGCCTTGTACGACGTAGGCGACTTGATTGGTCGTGGTGCCTTTTCACTCGTATATCTTTGTCGGAGGAAGGAAACACAGCAGATTTTTGCTGTCAAGGTCATTAACAAGGCACTTTGTGTTAAAAAGAAGACATTGCGGGATGAGATTACGGTATTGCTTCGAGTGAAACATGCTAATATTATTAGTCTGGAGGAAGTTTATGAGAGTGATCAGGAACTGCTTCTTGTGATGGAGAGGTATGCTATTTTATTATTTTAATGTGGGACATCCTTCCTTACGTGTATTGTCTTGTTTGATAATTAATGGATTGATTTTTATGCGACGACAGAGTTACGGGAGGCGAGCTATTTGATCGCATTGTGCGTGTGGGCGTTTACTCGGAGCGACAGGCAGCAGAGATTGTCACTAATGTCTTGCAGGCGCTCAACTATTTGCACTCTTGCCACATCCTGCATCGTGATATTAAGCCGGAGAACATTCTTCTTGCCAGTGGTGACAGTGGCGACATTAAACTCAGCGACTTTGGCATTGCCAAGATATTGGAGGATGAAGACGACGGCGCACGTTCTCGTGGCCGTGCATACACAAGTTGTGGAACCGACTACTATGTTGGTAAGTGAAAAGAAAACAATGTTTTGGTGTTGTGTAAGGCTTTAACGTTTGTGGGGTTTTTTTGTAGCACCTGAGGTTCTGAACGGCGAAGGCTACGATAGTAAAGTGGATTTGTGGAGTCTTGGTGTTGTCTTGTACATCATGTAAGTGGAAGCTTGTACAGAACGGAGTGTTCGAGTTCAATTTCTAATGTGTAATGGTGCTAATGTGATGTTTGCTAGGTTATGCGGGTTTCCACCATTTGCAGAAGATGAAAATGGACTCGAGTCGGTGTATCTTAAAATTCGCTCTGGTGCATTAGACTTTCCTCACCCGTATTGGACAAATGTATCGGATGGAGGTTGCATGCTGTAACTTTCCAAAGTAATGACGTTGAACTAACAACAATGTGTGCGTGGCTCTCGCTGTATAGCCAAGGATCTGATTCGCAACCTGCTCGACGTATCACCGCAAGACCGCTTCAGCGCAGCGCAGGCACTAAACCATCCGTGGATAAAGGGCGAGTACAGCGAGCAGCCGCTTTCGTCGGCTATCTTGGAGATGAAGCGCTTCAACCAGAAGCGTCGTTTTAATTAACGCAACGTTTCTTATCTCAAGCGACGGCTGCAGACACAAAAAAGGAAGACAAAGAACCAGATCGGCAGCCGGACGAACGAGCAGCGGTTGCTGGGGGCGCAGCATAGACGTATTTCATGGGGATTCCGCCCTCTCCACCTGACGCACCTTCCGTACATACATAGAAATGATATGTCTTGACTTGAATACATGTTTTAAATAAGCAGACTAGCTTCCATCTGGTCCTCTTCATTCTCATGTCCTCATGATTTGAATAAGCAGACTAGCTTTCATCTTCTCCCTCTTTCTTCACATGTCCTCCTGACCACCAATTAGCGATAGAGGTCTGCAAGTCTTCGAGCTGAGCGCTATCGCGAATGTAGCGGATGCCATCAATTATCAAGCTGCATACAGTAAACGATGTTAGTAATCTTTGTCAGACAAACACGTTGCTAAAAACGCTTATATCAAACCTTGAGTTCTTCGTGATAAGAAGTACATTTGCGACATGATCTGGGATATCGTGAGCATAAGCAAATACGCCTTCCTTTTTTACGCGAGATGCGAATACCGCCAGTCGGCTACAGTGCAAGCATTAGAAACTGGACGACCTGTATTTCTAGTCAACACGCTAAATTGCTCACCTGATCCGTGCGGCTGCAGACACAATGTGCGTTCCGGTAGTCACCACTTTAGATAACGTGATGCTGCCCTCTAAACAGTAGATACAACCCTTGATATTTTTCCAGACGTGAACAAGTGGCGAATCTAGCAACATCAGCTCCAATCCGTCTTTTTCTTGTAGTCTTCCGGTATGGTAGAGGTCATAAAGATTCCTTCCGCCTTGAATCTCAGACACGGCAAACGGCAGCAATGGCATCGATATGACTCCATAGAAAAAGGTAAGGAGGCTGAACACTACGAATGATGGACATCTTTTAACAAACAGCATTGCCAAACCAAACGACTTCGGAGGCGGAAACGCTTGAAGACTTTGCTTTAAATAAGCGACCAGCAACTGAAGCTCGTCCGTAATTTCCATATATGCAAGCTGCTTTCGCATGCGACGCAGCTCAGGGCTGAATGTCCGCACGGCTGTCTTCTCCATAGAGTCAAAGCACTCAGTCAGCATCTTTGACAGCATTTCAAGCGAAAAGTCAGTAGGCTGTTGCCAGTATTCAACAATCCAGTTTCCCAGTCCCAAAAAGAACCACGCATCCAAGTCAACACTTGCTTGAATATCGATCGCTACATCAGAGTAAAGTCTCTTAAAAGCGCGTCGGCAGATTTCCTGCCAGTCTGATGACGTCACAGAACCCAGCACAATTCCGCCGGCATCAATGAATGCAGGTCCGAGCAGCCGTATTGTGTCAGTCCATTGACCCCGCCAAAACACCCAGTACACGACCGTCGTAAAGTACGCAGCAAACTTGAGTCGTCTTCCTTCACCCCACAGCTTAGCTTGGTGTCCAGCGTCAGTACGCAACGAGTTTGTCACAAGTACTGCTGTTACAGCAAGCACGATGCAGACCAAATGCACATCTTGTTGCAAGAAAAGCATAAATTTCAGCTGCCCAAATACCTTCATGACCACTGGAATTACGAACATAATGTATGGAACCCATGTAAAGACACCTAACTTGTCTGTAGACGTTTGCACCCATCCTTGTACTAATCGCACCGCACGTTCCTTGAGCTGCGAGCGATAAGAACAAATCACCAGCATAGATATCACCATAATCAATTGCCGATGCATGACCGCTTGAGCTAGCAACCCAAGAAAAAGAAGTGTCAGGCCAATTGTCATATGCTGCATGTTCAACAGTTCCAAGAAAACATACACAGCCGCAAGTCTCGCCAGCTTCAGGACATCAAAATGTTCGAGGACACGCTCCATTTTGGCTTGAAACATAGTGACCTGCTTTTCGTTGCCATCCTGTACCATCTCCTTCGTTCTCTTATTTACCACTTGACTAAGACCAGAACATGCGTAGGTTTGTTTGCACGTAGCGGTCGGCTTGAAGCCGTGCTCATTTCCAGCCTGAGTCCCACATTGTTTCTCTTCTAGATCCGTATTTGTGACGTAAAGATCCAATCGATCTTCTTTACTCTCTAACGCTTTTTTATCATAATCATCATCGTCTTCTTCTATTAGTAACGTGTTTAAAACTGCTACTCGTGCTTGTTTTAGTCCTGTCTGAAGCTCCTTATTCTGAGGATATAATTCTAACCCTATTCCATCAGCATACGACAATAACAATATTATTGTTCACATCCAGTTTTTGAGACAAAAACAAATTGTACAAAGTATTTGACTATTTCGTATCAAAAACGTATTATTTCGTACCTTTTTTATACCAAGTCACAGCGTGATCATATCGACCTAGTCGAGACAAAACTTTGGTGAGCACCAAAAAACCATTGACATGTGTCTTCTTGTCATCATTCACACATTTCTGAGCTATTTCTAGTGCTTCATTCAAATCACATAGCGTTCCTTTATCCAGCAATTGCTCGCATTGGTGTAATGCTGCTACTGTCCATGTGCTAGAATCTGACATGCCAACTGTTTTGGACTATTTATTTCGATTGGTTTGCCTATAGAAAACTCAAATGGAATTGTGTTGACCAAAATGAGTGTTTTTTTTCGTACGTAACTGAAATGTTACGAAACCCAATTCACATTACCAGATTATTCAATGACAAATTTCATATAATTTTGCAAGACCTTTACCAATCAATAGTCTTGTGTCCGTCGTTGTGGACGGAACAACCTTCGGCTTCCCAAAGCGCTTTTTCCATGTCTTGTCATGGTTTTAAACCATCCATCTCGATTTGGTTGCTCGCTTTGCGCTTCTTCGATGCTATGGAGTAGTAAGTGTCTGAGCAGCATTGCACTCTGCCGTACTCACACTCTTGCCGCTAGCCAAGTTCTCACCAACTATCAACAGCATCTCAGCGCCTTTTTTCGATATAAAGGCCATGTACATAAGTGCATTCCTCTGTGCTGTTATGCCTCCAGCTCGCGCTCCTGTCTTTTCACATCACCCTTAACCTCGTGTGTAAATCTGATGTCAACCTGCGTGCAGCAATGAAAAAAGGTGTACGCTCTGCATGGTAGCGGCTACTTCCCAGGATGCGAGTAACATATGGAGGTCTTGGACATAACTTGACAACCTCGACTGAAGAGAATTCGTAGAAGAGGAGAAATAGGCTGGCTTGTGAGCAATAGTTTCCATTGCACCTCGCTTGTCGCGGCGCTACCAAACAATGTTGGCCTGAATCGAACAGAACAAGCCACGACTGAATGAATATCACTTGGTGCTGGCTCAAGAGCGCCAGCTTTCCTTTTCAAAATGGCCTGAATAAATGATTTGCGTGTGTTCTTATTTCTGGATCCCATAGCGAGTGAAACGAGATTGCCATGAGCGTCGAAAGGTCATTTCAATTATTCTTACTCAAGTCATGTCGGCATCGTTGTCATCATTTATCTCTCAAGCGCTTGTGATCTTATTCTCGCTGCCTAATGCAGAAGGCCTCAACGTTCATCGCAAAGCTTGATAAGTCAAAAAAAATGCTGTACACAAGACCTAAGCAAAGACAATAAGCTTCGAGCCTTTTCAACGTAAGCAATCAACTTAATGGATTTTGCATTAATACTGTACCGTCAAACCAGAGCAACCTATTGCTAACTACTTACCATATAAGTTCAATAGTACCTAGACAAGATATTATTGGTCTCTACATGAAGACAAACAATCACAACACACATAGGACGAAAGCGACAAAGATTTGTTAGTTCACAAAGTACAGGAACTAGGCTCAAACGAAAACAAGACAACTTTGAATTGCACACGTTGATTCATATGGCTAGAGCACAGACGGACCCATAATTCCAAGTTTACACCACAAACAGCAGCCTCAAGACAATAGACACATGGGAACGCATACCAGACGGAAACAAAGTGGACACCTAGAACTAAAGGAAAAAGAGCTAAACCTTCATCATCGTTATTGATATCAGTCTGATCATAGGTCTTACTGCTACAATCTGTTTCCAACCGGCTGAGTTACGGCTTATTGCTTCACGGCGTTCGAGTTAGGACCCAACTTCTTGCCACCCATACCTGCCACAACGTTCACAAAGCGGCGATTGTACTGCCAGCGTTTCTTCGCACGGCCCGTCAATGATTTCTTCGAATCCTCCTGCTTAGGAACCTTAGGAGTCTGTCCTTTTACCTTGCCAGCACGTGCAAGTGAACCGTGAACTTTACCACCACCACGCAGACGAAGGGACAAGTCCAATGTAGGCATGTTCTCAATATTGATGTTGCTGTAATGATAAAAAACAAGACAAATAGAAAAGCCAAGGAATACCCGAGTCAATACGCTGCATATGCTACACAAGTAGCAAGACAATTCAACAACACGTACTTCATGCTCTTTGCTCGCCAATTCTTATTTGAATGTTCATTGGCAGCTTGCGCGGTCATTGGTGGTGGCTACCAAACTCTTCAACGGTTCGCAACCGGTTAAATTTAATTCTATCGGTTCAATTTCTCTAACGTCACAGAAGTAGCTGTTTTCAGCCAATAAAAAAACAGCTGTCGCAAAAACGCACCAGTAGATACGCAAGTTCGAAAAGTGGACGTTACGAACTCAACTATTAGCTGCTGAACGGTTTGTTATTAATTTTAAACCAACGTTACATTATATTTTCAACAATCCGTAGTGTATCGTTATTACACATCTGTCAGCTATACTGGTTAAGGTTGCGATACTGTTGAAAATGAAAACTCATCTTAGCTGAAGAAGCATCGCGTTGAAATGATCTATATCGGTTCAACAGTCGCCTGAGACGACACTCACGATGCTGTTAATGTTGAAATTCCAAAGTAAGCGATTTCAACAGTAAATCAAGTGTTTTCCCAAAGGTTAGATGTATCGGTAGAATAGTGAGCTAGAACCTAACGTATGATTCATACGTCTCACTTGCTACTCTCTTTAATATCGCCAACAAGTTGTGAGCTTAAGTATGACTGAGGCATACACGATATTAAAAAGAGGACAACTATTTCGTGTGGGAGTGTGGTGGAGTGGGCTCTCAAAATTGCGTTATGAGACCCCAAGCCACTCACTGTGCCGGACTACCGATTGTCGGAGGGGGTACCTTGATGCCGCGTATAGACCTTCTCTCACCTTGTGTACCCGTCGGCTGGCGGGTTGCACTCTTCGGAGGACTTGGTTAAGATGTAATGTCGGCCTTGAGAGAGGTCGACCTTGGGGTGCCTCGAGTGGATATACTTCACTCGGTAGGCGGGTAGGTGGCCACTCGGTCGACTAGATCGAGTGTGGACTTATAACCAAATTATTCAGGGAAGCCTCTTGACCCTGGCATTTTCCTTAATTATCTTAGGGATATCAATCATCTGGCGTTTACTGCTCCCAAACCACTAGGTAGGGATACCGCTTCCGATAGCGGGTCGATTGGGGGGTGCTACTCAGACGAACCCACAGGCCAAATAATCCTAGGGCTCAGTTCACACTTAGGGTCTTACCACACGACTGTCTTCGACAAGAGGCCAAAATACGCCCCTTCCCGGAACACGTGGGTGGGCTTATACAAGTTCCTTATAAGCGTGACTCAATGTGGATTTTGATCTCTGAAGGTAGACCCTGGTCCCTTATTCGTATACCCCAGTCCCTCAAAAGGCAGACTTCGGTACCTCAAAGTAGACCTCAGTCTCTTAAGGTGGACCTCGGTCCCTCAATGTCGACCGGGGCAGTATACTAGTAGCCCTCTTCAATTATCTCGTAATCCCTGGAAATCTAACTGCGCTATCGAGAATATTACACCAACAGGTCGACCCAAACTCCCTTCAAGTATGCTTTTAAATCTCGCACCCAGTCTTTTTTCTCTTGTTCTTCCCTGATTCGATCTGCTTAGAGTCGTTTTATCACTTCCTCTTGCATAATATCCCCGGATATTCTAATGGGGGACCGTGATCGGGTCACTGCAAACATCTTGACCGATAGACTCCGGTCTCTGGGGACTAGCAACTCTAGCAATCGGTTGATCACTTCCAGACCTGGCCATTCTCCCTTCGGTATCGACTCGATCGCCTTCTGCTGGAGTAACGCCGTGGTGGCCAACTGGTCAGTGCTCTGATTTCAGTCACGTTTAACATGCAGGACTCATTGAGAGGGACACGACTGGAGAGTATTCAAAGCTATCGCCCGAAACGGGGATGACCCTAGAGATTTTTACTCGATCTCCCCTCGCATCTGTCGTACCACCAAGTTTAAGTCCCCGCAGAGAATCAATCGCCGTCATTTCAAGGGTTTCAACAGGTTAAAGCTCAGCATAATGCTCTCATATTCCGCCTCATTTACTGTAGACTCAGCGAGGTAATTTGAGGCAGCCTAGACTATAGTCGGTATCAATAATAAATATCGTACAGAAGTTTCGCAGTACGCTTTCGTGGAATCAAACTTTAATTTATATGAGGCGATCAACACGCAGCGAATGCCGCTGAGAACATCAGGTGCCACTCTTTTATGTAAATGAATCAACCACTCGAGATCGATTGAGCAATCAAGATCAAGTCATCAACAGCTCCCGTGTCCAGGTCTTTGACCCATTTTTTTACAAGTCAGCTGCAGTCAGCTTATAATCACAATGAAACGGCTCAATTGAGCCCAACATTTGCAGATCGAGATATTATCCAAATCTCTAGATCAAGGTTCAAGAAATTTTTTACATTGTGCAAAAAAAACAATCATCTCAGCTGGGCGCACAAATATGACCTTGAAGAGGTTGGACAGCGAAGAAAAAAAAGCCTTTAATGAAACTGAAGATGGGAAGTCATTCAAGGAGTCCCAGCAGATTGAGTACCATCGTATTGCCGCATGAAATGCCGATGAGGACGTTGATGCGTCACCCATGCTACAACCAGCAGACTTGTAATCTGCCATTTTGACCTTTCAGAGTCACAGGCAGATTAGGTTGTGTTTTTAACGTGGTTGCCCAACAATCGTGTACTAGGAGGTGGGATAGCAGAGAAAAAAGCGTCGCAATGAATTAGAGCAAAGGTATTCCCACACCGGGACTCGAACCCGGGTCTGCTGGGTGAGAGCCAGCTATCCTAACCGCCTAGACTATATGGGAAAGCTCATGGATTATTGCAACAGCACCTTCAAATCGCAGCAATCATTGCAATCGCAGCAATCATTGTAATCATTGCAATCGCCACAATCATTGGAATCATTGCAAATACAAGCCCACACACTCATCACGAATCACCATGATGATTACATACCGCACCGTTTACTGTACGAGACAATCATGCTGCTTGCAAATCACGCTACATTTACTGCGCATGAAACGTCCTCGCTGCTTACATCCCGCACTGGACTTCTTGCAGCGAGCAATGGCCACTCAAACGTCCACCATTGATCTAAATATTCGATTGGACCCAAGTGCGACGACGCACGCGCATGCGAACACAACGCTTCAAGACGCAATCAGTACCACGAGGAGCTAGAGACACCTCATGTCAACACATCTGAACACAGACTCCTTGGAATGACATATCACGATGTACGTGGTACGATGTACGTGGTACAGCGTGATATGTCATTCCAAGGAGTCCCAGCAGATTGAGTACCATCGTATTGCCGCATGAAATGCCGATGAGGACGTTGATGTGTCACCCATGCTAGAACCAGCAGACTTGTAATCTGCCATTTTGACCTTTCAGAGTCACAGGCAGATTAGGTTGTGTTTTAACGTGGTTGCCCAACAATCGTGTCCTAGGAGGTGGGATAGCAGAGAAAAAAAGCGTCGCAATGAATTAGAGCAAAGGTATTCCCACACCGGGACTCGAACCCGGGTCTGCTGGGTGAGAGCCAGCTATCCTAACCGCCTAGACTATATGGGAAAGCTCATGGATTATTGCAACAGCACCTTCAAATCGCAGCAATCATTGCAATCGCAGCAATCATTGTAATCATTGCAATCGCCACAATCATTGGAATCATTGCAAATACAAGCCCACACACTCATCACGAATCACCATGATGATTACATACCGCACCGTTTACTGTACGAGACAATCATGCTGCTTGCAAATCACGCTACATTTACTGCGCATGAAACGTCCTCGCTGCTTACATCCCGCACTGGACTTCTTGCAGCGAGCAATGGCCACTCAAACGTCCATCATTGATCTAAATATTCGATTGAACCCAAGTGCGACGTCGCACGCGCATGCGAACACAACGCTTCAAGACGCAATCAGTACCACGAGGAGCTAGAGACACCTCATGTCAACACATCTGAACACAGACTCCTTGGAATGACATATCACGATGTACGTGGTACGATGCACGTGGTACAGCGTGATATGTCATTCCAAGGAGTCCCAGCAGATTGAGTACCATCGTATTGCCGCATGAAATGCCGATGAGGACGTTGATGTGTCACCCATGCTAGAACCAGCAGACTTGTAATCTGCCATTTTGACCTTTCAGAGTCACAGGCAGATTAGGTTGTGTTTTAACGTGGTTGCCCAACAATCGTGTACTAGGAGGTGGGATAGCAGAGAAAAAAGCGTCGCAATGAATTAGAGCAAAGGTATTCCCACACCGGGACTCGAACACGGGTCTGCTGGGTGAGAGCCAGCTATCCTAACCGCCTAGACTATATGGGAAAGCTCATGGATTATTGCAACAGCACCTTCAAATCGCAGCAATCATTGCAATCGCAGCAATCATTGTAATCATTGCAATCGCCACAATCATTGGAATCATTGCAAATACAAGCCCACACACTCATCACGAATCACCATGATGATTACATACCGCACCGTTTACTGTACGAGACAATCATGCTGCTTGCAAATCACGCTACATTTACTGCGCATGAAACGTCCTCGCTGCTTACATCCCGCACTGGACTTCTTGCAGCGAGCAATGGCCACTCAAACGTCCATCATTGATCTAAATATTCGATTGGACCCAAGTGCGACGTCGCACGCGCATGCGAACACAACGCTTCAAGACGCAATCAGTACCACGAGGAGCTAGAGACACCTCATGTCAACACATCTGAACACAGACTCCTTGGAATGACATATCACGATGTACGTGGTACGATGCACGTGGTACAGCGTGATATGTCATTCCAAGGAGTCCCAGCAGATTGAGTACCATCGTATTGCCGCATGAAATGCCGATGAGGACGTTGATGCGTCACCCATGCTACAACCAGCAGACTTGTAATCTGCCATTTTGACCTTTCAGAGTCACAGGCAGATTAGGTTGTGTTTTAACGTGGTTGCCCAACAATCGTGTCCTAGGAGGTGGGATAGCAGAGAAAAAAGCGTCGCAATGAATTAGAGCAAAGGTATTCCCACACCGGGACTCGAACACGGGTCTGCTGGGTGAGAGCCAGCTATCCTAACCGCCTAGACTATATGGGAAAGCTCATGGA